TCCCGGGTGATCTGTCACGGAGCGCGCCAAGTGCTACTGTTTGATTTATTGGCTCCGCTTGGCTAAGCATTTATACTCCAAGTTTCTCAGAAACTTGAGCCTCAGTTTTTGGACAAACAGGAAAACTCCTTATACCGTTTTTCCGGACGCTCCTTTTTTCCCGGTACCTCGCTTTTTTTTTCGGCGATTAATCCCAAGCTTAAACTAAAATCTGAATTCTACGTTCTGGTGACCTATTTGTTATTCTCCTTTCACGTTTGAAAATGTATATGAAAGGGCCTGCGCAATCAGTTAATTCAATTGCAACTTACGTTTTTCCTTCTCAATACAGTTTTTGGCTTTTTGAATTACTATTTTTTAGCTATACAAAATATATATTTGACCCAGTCTCTCAATTGTTCATTTTTATGGAAAAGCTCCTTATTCAACGTCAGGCGTATTAAGGAATTAAAGCACTTCAGGTTTTTGCACAGTGGGGCGAAATATAGGATCTCCTGCGAAAGGCCCTTTCGTGGTTATTGCCGACTTCCTTTTCTCGTCTAAATAAATAACTTCATCAGATTCGGTGTATTAATCTGTCTGTAAACTGTCTTTTTAATTCAGCCATTGGTACTTCCTTCATAAATATTTGTTTTAAATAATTAAAAGACACTTTTACCCGCCTGAGACCGGTGTAATGAAGTGACAGGGTCGCCCCTGTACTTATAGACAGAAAGTGTGTTTTACAGCTTCTGCAGTTCTAGGACTGGAATACTATACTAAAACATTAACAACGTAAGAACGTCCCCTCAATTTGGAAGAATTAATGTTCACTTATACAGTTTCTATTATCGGCGTTTATGACGTCGATATTTTAATTCAGGACAGTGAGAAAAATTACCTAAAAAGGAAACTGAGCGACTAGCTCTGAAAGCTAGACAACTTACAGTGCGCGTCAAATTTACAGGTGTGTTTGGTCGTAACGGAAGAGTGGAATAGAACGTCTCGAAATCGAAACTTTAAGATTTGCTTAAAAACGGGAAGTGCTATGTGTTGGTGGAATATAGAGTCCCTTTTTCGAGGTAAAATGTTGCTACGAATGTAACAAATGACTGGACGAAATACGACAACATAAGGTTCGTTTTTAAGGAGTGCTTAACTAATAATTTTCTTTATTGTTTTGGCTTTGCATTGCCTTTCTTCGTAATTGGCCAAAAATTCTCGAGCCCTTTTCTCATAACAAATTACACAGAAGTAAAATCAAAATTCATTTTACCTCCGTCGTTCACACACTTCTCCCGCCCTTTGTTTATCGTGTACTGTACGTATCGTGATTGGTCCTTAGACGAATGCTTTTGTTTAAAGCCAATATACTATTGGCGGATCATTTGGAATTGGCTAAATAGGATTCAATAGAGTGGGAAAGTAAGAAAATTGTATAATCTGTTATTGCGAGATAATGACCAATTCCATTCAAGGGGAGCTTAGCATCTAAATAGAGGGGAAGTTTCTGCGAGGCTAAATGTATCATACGTATGACCTGGTAGGACGATTAAAGACTCGTTTCAGTCTAAAGGAGGGCACATGGTGCGAAGCGAAATGGCGCTACAGGACTCTACGCAAACCGCAAAAAATGTTCGTGGTAATAACTTTATTATGTAATTATTTATCTATACGGGCATGTAATTACAACCCCTGAAAAAGCAGCTGCAATAGCAGCCACAAAAATATATTGGGAAAAAGGGAAAATGAAACCGGAATGCTAGGGCTCTGTATGGAACGTAGTCAGTCTATAGCCGGATGGGCCACGTGACCAACTATCAGGGCGGCTACGTCCCATACTGACCCCTGATATTATTTGGATATTCAAAGGAGCTTACCAATTGGCTATTTAAACAAACAAACAAAGTAACATTAAATACGGTTATTGGTTGCAAAAGACCAATGTGGCCAAAAATGTTTCTTATCTTGCAATATGCATTAACATAATCAAACGAATTTTTTTTTGGGGGGGGGGGAGGGAGGAAGACGCCGCTTGTCCCCCTTAAAAACAGGAAATTTTTCTCGCAGTAGTCCAGGCGTCAATCAAAAACGAATTAACTTTAATTCAAGAGTTCGCGGAAAGGGAAAGATCATGTGCAAAATTCTGCATTTTTCCGCGCTGGATTCTCGATTGATTTTTACGTTTGAAAAAATTGGAGAACTTAGAGGTAGAATGACGGCGCTATTAAGAATGGCAAGGTTGAACAAAGTTGATGATGGGAATTCAAAACGGGGTCGACAATTGTAAACCTCTTTTATCTTTCTTTCTTTTACAACTTAACTGGCAAAGTAAATAAAAAACTGCGAGGTGCAAATGGTTCTGTATACCGATTAAAATGAAAAGTAAAACAAATTGTTTTAGATTTTGATTACAGGCTCTGATGGCTCCCTTTTATACTCTGCAGAGAAGCAGATGGTTCTTTGTTCGTGGCAGAACAAACACATTATACAAAATATACCGGTCTAGCGAGAATGAAAACTCACTCGGGATAGAAATTTTATATCGCTTTTATGCGCTTTTCCAATTTTTCCAGCTTACTTCTTCTATCCAAAGCTTTTAAATCCCAGCGTGTTCCTCTGCCCAATTACTCATAGTGCGCTGATTACTGTTAAGGGGTGTGGTCAGGTTTAGAGGTGAAGCAAAAAAGCCCCGAAGAAGCTACGAGTAGGATCTACTAGATAACGGAACGTGTCAGGTACACGAACAGACATGGTGCCGTTAGCCTTAACATGAAACACGCCACCATGGTACTTTGTGTGGTACTGCCGAGAGTTGGAGTCTTTTGAAGTGATACTTTCCATACTGCTCATCACTTTTTCGCCACTGATGTAAGTGTCGTGGCCCATCTGAAGAATTTTGTCACCACCGTCGGCATAGTACATTTGGCTGTACACAAAGTAGTAACCGGCTCTTTTCACCTTGATTGCTCCCCTGGTCTCTTCATACTCCATACTGCCTGACTTGTGTTTCACATTCCATTTAGTTATACGATGTTGTTCTTAAAAGAAGATTATAACCTGACAGTTAGAGTCAGTGTTACATACAGTGTAACCTTGATATAACGAAGGGCCGAGGGACTGGAAAATTTTGGTTGCTATAACGAGGTTTCGTTACATCGGAGTTCTCAGTTTTCATATATTTTGCCGTTACTGGGCTAAAGAAAAGCGTTCGTTATGCCGAGGACTTCGTTATATAGAGATTCGTAATATTGAGGTTCCATTGTCTAATTTACTTAAAATCATCACGCACAAACTTTTTCAAGCTGCCAGCTCTTCACAACCGTAATACGCAGGGGGTTTTAGAGGGCTTCTTCACTCGTTCCCTCCCCACGAAGGAACGTTTGCCTGGGAGGCTACTACTGCAGAAAACATCCATTATATACTACATGTAGTTAGAGCACAGAGTTCTGAACATTTAAAACGTCTTATGTTGATTATCTGATCCATTTGTATCGAACGACACACTTCAACAATACAGAACAATTGACAAACTTATCTCCTTCGTTCGTAAAGACTTACTGTTATTTGTTATGTTTCTTCCTTTGCCAACCATATGGATGCTTTCGTTCATCTGAAATACAAGGTTTGATCTGAGTCTTGCATGCCTAAATCCTCATCATAGGAAATATTTATACTGACCCATTTTTCTCAAGCTACACTGTAACAAAAACCTTTCTATCTTTTTATCTTCAATGACTGTTGTCGCCCGAAACGAATGCATTGATTCCGTGCTCACCTGACAATCCTTTGTTGTTCTGGCGTTTAACCTGTTACAAATCTTGTTATCGTCAAAATAACATTGAAAGAGGGTTCGCTTTCCTTTAGCAAAATGTTGTATGATGTGTGTGTTATCCCGCAAATAAATAAATTAACAAATTGTCGCACGCTCAAATAAAGAATTTCATGGGACAGGTCACCTAGGTCAGTATAATGTTGTTAGGGTACTATGACACGCGAGTCTTGAATCCAAATCAATAGTTGTTGCCAACTGTACGAACTACGATGTCTTCGTACACTTGGAAAAAACAACTGACAAAGAAAACATGTATCATTTTCTTGTGTTCGCGGACATTGCTATTCTTTTTCTGCTCTGCTAGATCCTTGTTACATGTCCCTGATCTGTGGTGCGCTTGATTTGTCCCTGTTACACGTTTTCTCGCCGCAACAGGACTATTCACTTCTCCCAACCTTGAAGTGCATGTCATCTGTACTCGAAACCTCATCTGCTAATCTCCAGAATAAATCTTTGAGCATTAATTCTCCTTGTCTGTCTGCCTCTCGATTAATGAGACTCTCAGGAGAAATTGGAGGCTGATCATTATTATAAGAAAGCACCTGTGTGTAATACTCACCAAAAGGCCAGGTGGGCCGGGCGGTCCAGGTGGCCCTGAAAGGTAATTCAGAGAAATTAATGGCTGAATCACGATGTTATCTTTTCGGGTTTAAAAAACTTAAATTTTTGCGAGCATCTAACCTTTTAAACGTAACCTATCAAGACAAAATTGAACCCTGGGGTACTTTCTATTTGAGAAATACTGAGTTCTTGATTTCAATTGAACTTGAAATTATCACAGTTCACAGTAAAGTTGGCGTCCGTCAGGAAAGGTTTGACTGGCTATAGTCCACGTTTTGAATGTGATTCTTATTTTATGGTCTGATAATAAGCAGGACACTTTGGTATTACCGAGCTTGTTTCTTGGTATTGCCTGTTTCACTTTAAACTGTTTTTCTTAGAATGTTTTAACGAGCAAAATTTGTGAGTAATAGATGGTTGTTTGTAGCCTGCGAATACAGCCGTTTTTCCTAGCTTCTCGCCGCCAGGGACGCGTTTCGCCAGGAGGAACGTCTGCGACTCAGGACAGAAATTCCATATTGATGACGTAAATCAATGTTTACATAATAAATCCGGTAGTCATGGGATTCCAAATGTAAATTTGTTTTATTTCATGTTTCTCCTAGTCGATTATGGTAGAGTTTTGTGATCTTTTGCGAACGAGCTGCAGCAAACCTCAGGTGCTTTTTCTATTTGCCGTTTTGTAATGGGTTAATCACGTTTACACTTGACCTTTGTGGCCTTTTGTCTTTTGTCTGTCATTCGTAAACAATGGGTGAAACAATATAACTACTACGTCGACCAATCAGAGCTTCCGGACAAATTTTACGTCATCAGTATGGAATTTCTGTCTCTGAGTCGTAGACGTTTCTCCTGGAGAAACGTCCTTGGCGGTGAGGAGCAAAGAGAAATGGCTGTATTCGCAGGCAAGTTTGTTTGCCGGTTTGGAGTTTATGAAAGTGAAATTGTCAATACTTAATCAGAAAATAACAGAGGTAAAACCCCAGGGCCCCGGTAGTTAATCTAAACCTATAGCTATACCTTGAGGTCCCTGTGGTCCTTGTTCGCCTCTCATACCTGCTGGGGAAAGCCGTTTTTATTAATCTTGTTGAAGGGAAACTAAACCCCAGGGCCGGGTTGTTCAAAGCTGGGTTTAGATGACCCAGGGTTAGTGGGAAATTTGAATTCAGATTTGAAAGATTAAAAAGTAAATTTAGTTCAATCTTTCTGTCAGCAAGTTGATGATTGGATGCTCTTAAAAATAACAGAGGAAATTGTCCGAGAAAATGCTTTTGAACAAAAGAAAAAGAAACCCGTAAGGTAGCCTCCCACATCACGCAGACCTTCCTTTGTAACGTTCATGCAAACCTCTATTGCTCAGAATTTACCACAACTAAGAGCTCTTCAAGAGAAAAATGTAACCACCTTCCCATTTCTTCTTGACGTGCAACTGCATCTACTCCCTGCTGGGATAATTTGTGTCTTTTCTTTGGCAGCTGTACAGTTATTTGGTGTATTTCAAAATATTGCTACCGAAGAGTCTACTGTATTCAAGACCTCCACTTTAGTGGATATTATAAATTGTTACATCATGAAAAGGTTCAAGAAAAATATTTCACGTATATTAATTCCTTACAAACGGGCAGCCTAATGAAACCCTCGGGACTGAGCTTATCCTGTGATTTAAGCAAAGCAACTATTTTCACCGCTCACCTCTCTTGCCTTTGCAAACTAAAAGAAAAAATGGAAAAACAGCGTTACTAAAGTCAGATCAATTTCAGTGATGGTGCCTGGATTTACACTTGGACACAAAGTAAATAAGTTTTACCCTTAAGCTCCTAAGATAGACCGACATTTAGTTTCTTTTCTTCGAAATACTGCGCATGCGTAAGGAGCTGTGTCGCGGGATTTATCAAAATATTCAAAAACAGGGTAGACTGCCACAAAATTTAGCAAAATATAAAAATAACAGCTTAAAACGGAGAGGAGGCTCGGATGGACAAATTTAAAAAAAGATTCGGAAACGGACTGCAATTGTTATTTCTGTGAAAACTTATTAGCGCAACAGGTTTTCAAAGTTCATTTTTCTTGTTCTTTGAAACGTTTTAGAATACCGTAAACTTCCGATTATAAGCTTCCCCCGCCCCCTCAGTTTATAGGCCCATCTACCACTCAAAAAAAAATACATCCGGTTACAAGCGCGTCCTGTAGCTTGTATTGAAATGAATTCGACTTTTTACGACGTTTTGAAGCTCAAAAAAGCGATCAAATTCAAAAAGTATTTTGATCAGCTCTGCTCTGTGGCTTGTTTTGAAACACTTCTTTTTAGTCTGGTTACGATTTCTGGAAATACGCAAACTGATTTTAGGATTTCACTAATTAAAAGGTTCACACATCACAGAGAGTGCTTAATAATAAAGCTACTTATGATCTTACCTTTTTTACACTTGTAACCTGTAAAGAAAAATTAAGGAGTTTGAGTAAGAAGCTGTTCTGTATAAATGCAAGGTAGAATTTTCTTTTATCCCATCTTGTAGTGTACGAGCCGGAGCTGGAGATCAGTTTTTTTTTTTCGATTAACAATAGCGTCCCAAGAATGACTGGAGAATTTATTATTCAACCCGTGATTATTTGTGATAGAATAACATTTGAACACAACGGCAAGGTGAATTGCTCTCAAGAACAGTGAGCAACTACTCTTTCTCACTATTAAAACATTGGGCCAGCATAAAGTACAGTTTCAAACAAACACCAACCGGGCAACCACGCGAAGTGTGAATTCAAATCCAACACCGAGAGCGTATTGTTGAGAAAATACTGTTTATCGTTCTGAACTTCACGGTATTCAATGTTAGCTAATGTTAAAAATGGTTGAACTGAAATAAGCTAGGCGACACTTACTACTTATCAAGAAAACGAAAATATCAGCCTCACAACTTTACTAATGTAGTACAATTGGCAGACCTCATTTCAGGGACAAAGAATGCGATCTTGACGCGTATTCCTCTTCCTTTTTTCCAACCGAAATGGCGGGTGCATTCTTATACTATATATGCGTCACATCGCGCTTGCCACACGCCTCGCAATCCATGTTGGCGCACTTACTGAGCCGTCATTTTGTTTTCCCGCTCCAAAGATCTCGGTTCCGCGTTGCGGTTGTGAGTGTGTGCACAAATGGTGAATGTCCGAGGAGGGCCCTCTTATCAAATATTAATCATTATTACGTTTAACCTGCAGGTTTAAGACCTTGTAAAGAAATTATGTGACAGAAAAGGCGCTTTAAGAGAACATTGGAGCTTGTTCAAGGAACCTTGGTATGTAAAAGCTGTTTTGAATTAAAACCTTAGTGATCCATTTATCCTCAGGGGGGTTTCATGATCACTAATGACCGTGTAAGATTAACATTTGAATGTAAACGATTAAATTGACCATGGGCTAAAGGGCGATCATTATCAATACGTATCAACCGCAAAATAACAGGAAGTGGACTACTGTGATCCAAGAGGCTTTCCAAGGCGCAAAGGAAATATTTCTGGTGGTTTCCCACTTTTTTTCGTTAATTTTAATTATTAGGGAGCTTAAGCAGCCACGACGACGACCACAACGACGACTTCAAAAAAACAATAGGTTTACTGATAAAAACAAAAGCTCTGCACGTGCATCACGCTTTTTAGTACATTTTTTTGACGTCCACCGCAGAGTACTACGTGAAACCTCCTTGTTTGACGTTTTATGGAGGACGTGGACATACGACGACGAATTTTCCTTCCTCTTTTTGAACCTGAATAAAATCCTTAAGAATTCAACTCCAGGAAAAGTCGCCTGCATTTGACATATTGAGCGGGTCCAAATAGACGCGATTAAGTTTGAAAGAACGCAAATTCATTTTTTTACCGACGTTTTCACTGCCGTCGTCTTCGTCCTTGCTTAAGGTCCCTAATATATCGATAGTGGACGCTTTTGAGTATACTTCAAATCTAACTGTTGTGAGAAACATTTGAAAGTAAAACATTAATTTTTAAAGAATGGCGGAGTACAAAATATGCGGAAGTAGTTAAACTGCACTGACAAAAGATGTTGCAAACGTCTCTGCACTTGTCGCTGATCTACTCTCTCTGTAAGACTCTGTTACGTAATTTTCAGCCGTCCAACGAACAAAACTACTTTCTCAAGAGTATGAACTTGCCATTTCTTTCTTTCTTTTGTTTTCGGTTAGTAAGAAGATGGCAACACGTGTACCGTTTATTGCGGAACAAAAGGTTTCCTTCTATCGGTATTGCAATTCTCCCAAACGATGTTAACAAACCTGGTATAAACATAACGATGAGAATGCCTATTTTGATCACTTTGGGGGCAATTAAAACAGGGTGAGATTATTTTTCGTTGAAACTAAGCAACAGTGATAGGGTCTTAAGGTCTCTAACGTAAAGTTTTTTCGACGGAAATGTTTCAGTTTGTGTCAATGGAAATTCCTGTAAAATGGCTCCTAGTCTTACTAAAAATTACTATACCAGAACCTGACTTTGGCTGAGGACTACCTATTAGATAGATGTTGTCTCACGCTTCAAACTTAAAATCGTTGGCGATGTTTTAAGTTTGGCAATGTCATTTGGGAAAATTCAATAGTTTGCTCACGCTTCGGACACTGAATTTGTCCTTCAATCGCTGTTCAAAGGCCATTTGTGCATCGGCGAGTGAATCTTGGTGACTCTAGAGTAGTTTACAAGAAAACGTGAGAAAAATATCGTGATGTTTGTCTTTTAATAAAAAGTAAACGAAACACTTTATTTCACCTGTCGGGTGTGGGACACCTCCCATTTGGCGCTTATCTCTTGACTGAAGGGAACTGAAAGGCGTCTGCTGAAACAAAACACAGTCAGGTTACTTTGCGTTCATTCAAATGAAAACATTAGCTTATGCATAATTTTATCGTACAAAAGTCGCTTTTGTTTTTGCAGCGATTTCTACAGATCTTAGAAGTTATCAACGTACCTTACTGGTGAGCTTTCCGTGCACAACTCGATCGGTTTCACTTACACTTTTTGCTTCAGATCTCTTAATATTAGTCAAACTTAGTTCCAACTTGTAGACGCGAGCTGAAAGTTCGATTGTCTTTGCCTCGAGTGTTTGAATTCTTGTAGTCTGTGTCAATACCAAGCGATAAAGAGTCACCATAAAAACCGAGACCAGTACAACATAGATCGCTGCCATTAAGATCAGGAGCGAAATCCAATTAAAGCAGCGAGCGCGTTGCTTGGAACCTTGTTCCATGGCGATCAGTTTGTACGAGAAGAACCGATGACTTGTCTTGTTTTAAGTCCCGGGTGATCTGTCACGGAGCGCGCCAAGTGCTACTGTTTGATTTATTGGCTCCGCTTGGCTAAGCATTTATACTCCAAGTTTCTCAGAAACTTGAGCCTCAGTTTTTGGACAAACAGGAAAACTCCTTGAATAGAATGTTTTAACTGAAAATACCGTTTTTCCGGACGCTCCTTTTTTCCCGGTACCTCGCTTTCTTTTTCGGCGATTAATCCCAAGCTTAAACTAAAATCTGAATTCTACATTCTGGTTATCTATTGTTATTCTCCTTTCACGTTTGAAAGTATATATGAAAGGGCCTGCCCAATCAGTTTATTCAATTGCAACTTCAAATTTCATAGATACGTTTTTCCTTCTCAATACAGCAGTTTGGCTTTTTGAATTACTATTTTTTAGCTATACAAATATATATTTGACCCAGTCTCTCAATTGTTCATTTTTATGGAAAAGCTCCTTATTCAACGTCAGGCGTATTAAAGAATTAAAGCACTTCAGGTTTTTGCACAGTAATATAGGATAATATAGGATCTCCTGCGAAAGGCCCTTTCGTGGTTATTGCCGACTTCCTTTTCTCGTCTAAAGAAATAACTTCATCAGATTGTGTACTAATCTGTCTGTAAACTGTCCTTTTAATTCAGCCATTGGTACTTCCTTCAAAAATATTTGTTTTAAATAATTAAAAGACACTTTTACCCGCCCGGGACCGGTGTAATGAAGTGACAGGGTCGCCCCTGTACTGATAGGCAGAAGGTGTGTTTTACAGTTTCTGCAGTTCTAGGACTGGAATACTTTACTAAAACATTAACAACGTAAAAAGGTCCCTTCAATTTGGAAAGAGCTATGTTCACTTGTACAGTTTCTATTATCGGCGTTTATGACGTCGATATGTTAATTCAGGACAGTGAGCGAAAAATTACCTAAAAAGGAAACTGAGCGACTAGCTCTGAAAGCTAGACAACTTACAGTGCGCGTCAAATTTACAGGTGCGTTTGGTCGTAACGGAAGAGTGGAATAGAATGTCTCGAAATCGAAACGTTAAGATTTGCTTAAAAGCGGGAAGTGCTGGTGGAATATAGGGTCCCTTTTTCGAGGTAAAATGTTGCTACGAATGTAACAAATGACTGGACGAAATACGACGACATAAGGTTCGTTTTTAAGGAGTGCTTAACCATTTTCCATCCATAGATTCACCTCTTTGGTTAACAAAGGGATATCCAATAAACAGACAGCAAAAGACCTCTTTAGCGTTTATGTTTTGTTTCCCATTGTAGACCATGTGGCATTTAAGGAACTGATTCTTTGGAGCCTCGTCCTTTTCACATGTATACGCACGCACAACGGGCAATTTCCCTTGAAAATGACCTACATCAGGAAAAAAAGAGAATTGAACTCTTTAAAAAGAGGTCTATTTTCCATTATATTGTCTATACAGTTTTCGCGCATAGCCGGAAATAACGTCAAAATTTTCAAAACTCAAGGGGAACCACGAGCCGCAGATGAGTGGCTTCACCGTGCAAACTTTCTAACATTTTCTCGTAGCATTGATGTCATAGCTGTTGACCAATTAGCGGGCGACAGCTTATTTATTGTTGAATGTTCTACCAACATTTCGCCGTATGTCCATGTCAGGATTGTCAAGTGCAACCAAATATAATGTACAACTAAGTAGTTTTGAAACTTTTTACAAGGCAAATCGAAACATTTGCAGGAAAACCTCCTTCTGCAAAGGTGGGAGTGCATAAATTAACGGTGATTTTGTGTAGTTTGGAGTAGTTTACTCCAAATGACCGAAAAACCTAAACATCAAGACGAGGAAACTCTCAACTTTGCGCAAATCCCTGGTGGATGTCTTTGTTACGTAATAATTTGGCTCGCACGAGTATACCTTCATTGGGAGTGGATAAGCTATATTGTTACGGACGCAAATGTTCCCATATCATGTTAGTCGAAACAGAAAATACCTAAAATTAAGAATATGATTGTTCAAAGTGAATTCAATTGCTATTTTCGCATCTACTGCAACCTACCTTATATTGAAAGCAGGAGCCGATTATCGGCTCCTGATTGAAAGTGAATGGGAACAGGAAAGAAAGTGGATTAAGACGTCATCTTTAACTTCCGACTTCCTTTTGCAGGTCCCGTGAATTTCTGTTTCTAATTTAAAACTTTCGACTTCTGACTCGTCTCATGCAAGGGAAGTCCAGATGCTTGCTGTGTTTCCTTCTAAAAACAGGGGGACGTTTCGGTAAAGGAATTATACTTTTCCATCCGTGCTCCACGTGAAACCGCCTATGTGGACCCATGTGTTGTGTACTTAACTTGATGATTATAGAGCTGTTTCGGTCAAAAATTTGGTATTCGATACGAAAAGTCTAGTTTTTTTGTTTGTGTTTATGCACATTTCTTTCCATGTATTTAATTGCCTGTTCCAGGCGTTCAGGTAGTAGAGCGCGGAGTTCAGATGGCGAGGAGCGAGTTAAATCGTACGCGGGGAAAACGAGGGGAGACTGGGGCGTTCGATCTTTCGCCCGCGCTGTTAAGAGTATCATGGACGGAACATACAACCAATTACTTTAATATTACTTCAAACTCTCAAAGAACACTACCAATTGGTCATTGACAATTTCGTAGCTCAGATAGCTAGCTTTGCGGTTTCAATAGAACAATTTTGGGCTATGTATATCGTAGAAAACGAAATCGTGAAACAATACAGTTTATTTGCGATGACTTTATTTGCGCACACAAATAGTTTTTAAGGAAATATTTTGGCAGGTTGCACGATTCTGCTGATAACACAGTGTGTCTCAACGACGACCTTAAAACGTATAAGAAGTCGATATGCTGCAATGGTAAACTGTCATGAAAGAATTCAGTAGACCAGCTTTTGCAAATGCTTAGCAAAATTATTCCTTTTAAAATGCTACTGATTTAAAAAACCTGTTGTTTATAGAAATTGCGTCAGAATTTTCTTTAGCTAAAATATACACCACTTTTTACCAGAAAAAAAAAGAGGTTATCAGTAATTTTATCACATTGCGGCCCATTGAATTACTGTAACGCGTTAATCGCATTTAGCTTTACTGCGCTTTTTCTGTTTCTACATTTGTTTTTACAATTTACAATACACTAGAAAGGATAAGTCTCTTGTTTTCTCTCAGAGATAATGGAACTACCTAAACACTCGACAGGTTCGCGGTTAGTAATCCTTTGGGGCGCGCGCGAGACAATTTTTCCGCGTGTTGGGGTGTTCCTCTTAAACTCCTGTCTCAAAAAAAAACACATTACATTGCTGGCGATTATTTACAAAACTATACTCAGTAACCCCTCAACTCTCGACACAAGAATACAAAAACTCGTTTTGCCCGCCTCTCTTAGTACTTAACTAAGCATGGTGTTCTTAGGAAAAGCTTAATCCTAGTCAAGGGAGGTAAAGGGCCATTTACTCCTAGTGTCATTATTTGCTGCTTGGTTTCAAGACCTTGATTCTACATTAATGCAGTATCTACTTTACTTTTCGGATGCCGAAAATGCTCTTATATACACGGAAAATTGTTTCCCCTTATGTCAAAAACAGAGGCGGAATTAGACCCTCAATTAAGTCAGGAGTCCACTCATGCACAACTAGAAGAAGAGGGAGGGGCGAACTCCAACATAATTTTTCTCGGCCCTGGGTGCCTTGGCTTGGCATACAAACAAGGTGGGTGACAAAAATACAAACAATCTAAAACGCGACTTCTTCATACTTCAAAAATCTATACATCGTAAACTGTGCTTAAAATCATGATCAAGCAGTGTAAGCTTTATCGCCCCGTCAGTTGTAATCTTGTTTGATGTAAGTAATGTTATTCGACAAACCTAAGCGTCACTCCGATGGCAATGCCGATATTGCTATTGTTTTTTTATAATTTTTCTTTAAGCACGAATTGCGTTGTAGGAGCTCTCGCGCGTTTACTTAAATGATTTCCCAATGCAGTATTTTCTTGTGGTACTACTTATTATGTTATACAGGGTGTTCTAACTTAAGGGACTGTACAAGATTAGAGTTGACCATAAAACCGCTATGTTATACGTTGTTTTAGTAATGTCGATACTCCTTTTTGGAGGATATATTTTTGATGTCTCTACATGGAAAAAACTTAACAGGTAATGTTTTTTGAAGGTGCAACCTGTTCTACCGCAGTAACATCAAGAATGAGGGACGTATGATTGCATTTGGAGTTGAACGATTTCCGACATCATTTCAATCGGGATACAACATGTACAATCCAAAGTATGTAAGCTGCGCTTCCATAAAATACTTCTTACTCTTGTACACTTCCACTTTGAGGGTATCTCCGCGATTCAGATGGAAAATGCCGCCATGGTAGTTTGTGTAGTACTCTTTATTGCAACCTGCCACACTGGAAATGCTTCCAAGAATCTTCTGTCCATTCAGTACGGTGTAGTGACTCATGGAATAGCTGGTACAATCGTAGTAGTACATTTGACTGTAAACATAGTACGTTCCAGAACTACCGACCACCAATGCACCCTGGTGCTTTCGAAATACTATATTGCCTCTTACATGACCAGGATGATCTTCCTTCCAGCGATTCACAGTTCCTGAGGAAAAAATTGAAAGTTCATAAGCGATAGTACTTGGACAATTCAGTGGTGTGTGTTTTTATCCGCCTTGTAGTGTCACAGAGCAAAGTTAAACTGACTAAGGAAACACCAAAGCAAACGGGTTACCGTTGATGCAATAAATTCTCATAAGAAAAACAGTCTTAACGGCAAGGGAGTTGATAAAACTGTAAACTCGTTTTACTTCGGTCTGGAAATTTTACTTCTCCTTGCAGGCCACTCTTCCATTTTTGCCTGTGCAAGAGCGAGGCGAAAAAAAGAGAAGAGAGATTTAGGGAAGACGTGGTCGTAAGCTAACCCATCTTTGCTACAGCTTTTCTGTTTCTTGCCCTTCACTCTAGACCACTCTAGAGAACCTGTTTACAGGCTACTCCTTTTTACTCGCCAACGTCTCTAAAAAAAAAAGAAAGAAATCGACGCATACACCAATGGACACCGACTGAACGGTTGAGTATGTTGAGTTATTCGCCTTCCGGTTTGTATTTTTCGTGCTTATAGTATTAACTTTTGTACAAAGCCTTGATCAAGCTTGGGCATTAGTCTCAAACTGCAACAGGCTGCAAGTTGACTGAACGAAGGTCAACAAACACGTATTTTAAAAAAGAGAAGAGTAACCGGATCCGTACCAGCATGGTGGACCCTTCTTCCGTCTCCAACTAGGTGAGCGCTCTCTGCCATCTACGAAAGGAAGAATATGTCGCTCTTAGTTATGTGCAGCATAATTAACAACACAACGGGAAAATACTGCTCGGCAGTTTTCACTTTAGTCGTCACAATTTAGGACTTCATTCTCAGATGAAAAATTCAAAACACCTTGTACAACATAATTAACTGACTACAAGAAAGTTCCACGCTACGTGAGAACTTCTATATCAGTGACCCCATTTAGGGTCTCCATTAACAGACGATAAAGTCTCCCAGTACCTTTGACAGACTGACATTAATCTCTATTCTGAAACAAAATTAACTTTACTTTTCACAAACGCTATAAAAAAACCTGACACTCTATTAGTATCAGGGAAAGTAATCGGTGTTCTTTTAAGCTTAGTCACTAAAGCAAGTGACCTTACTTACCATAAGTCCCGCAGGTCCTCTTTCACCTGGATAAACAAGAAAACAGCAAACGTTAGTTTAACTGCGAAAGCCTAAATTTACATTAACCTTTATAGTCTCCGCAAAAAAATTGTGAAAGTCAGGTTTACATGAAGCTCTACCCAAACGGCAATTGAAAATGTTATTGTATTTTTCTGAGGGGCCTTTTTACTTTTCTCTAGCTTGCTGAGTAACGTCTTTTACTCGGCTGCCGAGTTTTAATATATACCTCCATTTCGTACAGATTTATAGGTGCCTTACCTTGTGGTCCCGGATCTCCTTTCAGTCCCTGCAAGCCTTGCGGGCCAGTTTGCCCGGCAACTCCTTGTGGTCCCTCGGGACCTGGAGCACCAGCGGGACCAACGGGACCTTGGGGACCTTTCTCGCCTAGACAAAAAAATAACATTAAAATAATAATAATAATTACAGTCGAGCCTCTACCAAGCAGCTACCCTCTATTTAGCGGCCAGTTACCGAAGTCCCGGTGAATAAAATGGTCAGGAAATCAAGAGGCCAACGTTATACTTAACAAAGCCGGTTTCGACTTCATTTCTTCTCTTGAGTGCCTAATGTCAATATTTAAAGAATTCCATTTTGTGAAATACTAGATAACAGGCGGTTTCATGTGAAGGCATTGCTGAAAAGGTTTCATTTGATTGTTTTACACTGCAGAATGTCATCGATCCACAGACTAAGGATTTTGTTGCATGTTCCATCGCTCTTAACTACATGAAACGTTTCCAATCTCAAACAAGAGCTCTGTCCTCACGCAATGTCCTGAATTCACCATAATATTTATTTAATATTAAATCAACATTATTAAATTAATATTATTAATTATTAATATTATCATTACGTTAATATTATTAATAATATTATTTAAAATAATTCATA